CTCACCTTCGACCTTCATACATTGCAGAGCACACATTTTACATCATGCTCCATTGTAATTTAGGCATTAGAAGAATACTGAAAGCAAGACATATATACTACCTATGTAAAATTGTCACAAAATCTAAAGGATAAGATACAGTAGTCTTGTTTTTACCTGTTAAAGAACCGAATAGATTCAAAGTGGTTTTGCTTGACAAACAAATTAGTAATAAATTAACATCCATGTTGATGATTACAATGACTTAAACTATAATGGTACTTTGTCTCCTGATTGCAAAGATTGATATTTGTGAATTCGACGATTGCAGTAACTTATAGCAGACATTTTACATCTTTGCATAGTCTTGTAAGTTAGCTATTTTTGTATTATAAAGAATAAGTTAGGTACTTTTCTCACGTGGTATGCAATCGTAATAAAATCTAAATGATAAGATCAGTCATGTTCTCACCTAAAACCGATTTATTCAAAGTGGTAATTGGAGTTGAGCTTGGCAAACAAAACAATAAATTGAAATCAATGTTGAAGGCCCCTGTATTACTAGCTTATTGAAAATAAATTATGGTGCTTTATGGTTTCCTTATTTGCAAGGAATAAGGATACATTTGTGAATTTGCAGGTAGCCACCTCCATTCAACATTGCATACCACACATTTTACATCATTCGCTCCTTGCAATTTCATGTGACAATTTTGATTACCTGACGAGGTAAACAAGCTACCATTATTGTTTTGTAAAGGGTGATTGGAAAACTTCTTTTACACTTTAATTCGTTGCTTATGTGGTTGCAACAGACATAACCTATTTTGGAATTCTGATATAACCTCTAGTTTATTTTTAACCTAAACGCGATTTGCACAATAGCCAAATTACACGAGTTACGAAATAAATTCGACTTACATTTTGGCGGAGTCATCGACCTCAGCCGCCGGCGAATCCCATTCAATCCAATTTGAGGTGCTACACTACCACTGACACACGCGTTAGTCTTATCAAAGTCACCTCGACATAACCTCAAAGACAACGCGATTCGCACAACGCAAACCGTGTTATTTACACTATGTACACTATCGGGGAGAAATGGGAGAAAACAGAAATCGCACTTCCTCAACTGGTCGCTGATATAAATGCGCGCAGCTAGACTCGCGGCAGCGGGGTCATTGACATCTCAGACTCAACACAACCGGCGCTGTGACGTAGCGAGGGGAGGGGCCCCTCTCCCCCCACCACGGCTACCACCCCTCCGTCACAACCCTTTGCCGTTTCCGCGATTACGTCTTTTGATCCCGGTTATCAATTTACTTCCGGTATTCGGGAGTCGCCTTTTTATCGCGAGTTGAACGAACTACAGCTGTACTATGAGTCATCGTGGAGTCTGTGATCTTTGTTGATTTCCCCGATATACATTTTTATTGTATAGGTGTTTCTAGTGTTCGATTCACATTGGATGATGGTAATAAATTTGAGAATTGATTCGTATTTTATTATTATCATAATCAGAGAAACGTTTGCCCGCACAATGATTTCACAACGGTTCAAACAATTTCCACTAAATTATTAGAAATATCTTTTAATCGATATTTTTTAATCCCAATGTTCTTGAAAAATTTCGTTCTCGTTGTAAACGTTTTAAAATTTAATTTTAATGTTGTTAACTGTAAATGTAAACAAAGGAATTGCAACATATGTTTATAACCACAATTTACAGTACACAAGCAAAATAATACAGTACAAAAGGATGGCTATGCCTATGAATACCATTGAGCATATAATACACTTAGTGTGTATGTGTATTGATATGAAATGGGATGGATAGGATTGTTCAAATTTATTATTTTACAGCAATACATTATACACTAATTGAAATAAGAGCTCTGAGAAACATAATGTTGTATGAATAGCACTTATGTTTTTTCTTTACATATTTTAGACAGTATTTTATGATATTATTGTTTGTAATGGAAACAAATATCTGTTGAAAATCATCCATAAAATATGTATGTTCATTAGTTTAAACACAACAAGTAGTACTCAGTCCCCAGGTACTGTAAAAAAAACTCTCCAAAAATATCATCAAAAACACTTTCAAGTTCTCAATTATGTTAAATGCATCGGCCAGCTTTTTTAATTAAAAAAATTGAATTATGTAAACTACAAAAAATCATTTAAGGTACGGCCTTTTGGAAATCAGTTTATTGGAAAAATCCTTCATAAAAATAGTTTTGGTAAATCTACACATTTTGACCTTTTTTCGATATGCCTATGCCTGTGTTTTTATTCGGCTTATGGCCATAAACGATGCCCACACATTTTCGACTGTCTCTCGACTACATGTAAAAATAGTGATCTAATTAACTTGGATTTCTAATTAAACTAAATTTAACGATTTATGTGTAAACTACTGTTTATACTCTGATTTCTCAACTAACTAGAAAACCACGAATCGTAAAATCTACCACAAAATTAAAAAATTGGAGATAATCAAACAAATAATTCGTCTAGGCCTACATCAGCACAACACGTAACCTACATACAACACTTTCATAGTGTAATATGGACTATATTCCACAGTAGTTCAAAACACCTATAACCATTGAATCGTTTCTAGGTGTAGTTATTGGAACGAAAAAATTACAAATTAATTTAGTGGATTATTTCAAGTTTGATGGTTTATAATTTCGTAAGATATCCTTAATTTTGTATAAAGATATTTAAGCACTTCCTTGCAGTTTTTTTCAACAAAAGTCTTACACTTGGCTGGTAATACGTACAATAAAAGAACAACTAAGATAAAATTTCAACAAAGATTTTGTTCTCAGGATACATTTCATTTGATTCAACATTTTTAAATCGTCGAATGGAGATGTTTTACTTTTTTAAATAACAATTCGTCATCTCAAATTTTTCAAGTTTTGGGAGTATGAGAATTTACTGTAATAATAGTTAAAGGTATGAGTAAGAGATTAATAAGCCTATTATGTGGACTTCGGTTAAATTCTAAATTCATTAAAATGCAGATCAGGCTAATCTATGCACTTTCACTTTCAACAAAATTATAATATCAATAATTATTTGACTATAACCTTCGGAAGGTTGAAAAATTATGTATGAATTTACATTTTTTAACTAAGATCAATACTTTAAAATATTATAGGCTAAAGGTTTATTCTAACTACAAAATGTCGGTAACTAAATGCATGTCGGTAAGATTTCCATTTGTTACAGCGCGCTCTACCTGTCGGCCAAGCTTTGAACTATCTGCCCAACTGACGAAGTCTGAATGTTGTCATTTACGTTAAGTTTTACTGGCCCTACTTTAATTTAATAATTGATTGCAACCGATGTATCGAATTGTAAAATAAATATATAAATAGTTTAACATAAAAATTACTGTACACTTCAACACTTTACCACCAATAGAACGTCTTCTATTTAAACCAACAAAAGTACATTTCAAGATCTTTGATTTGATATCAAGCTTAGTGTTATAACAATTAATTTACAATCTAAGCAATCATAATTTGGGAGCCAAAATGTATATATATATTTTTGTAAATCTGGTGTTACACTGGGTAATTTAACGGGTTTCCTAGAAGAGAGGGGTTTCCTTTTTTAGAGAATATCCCGCATAGGTAATAAGCTTTTATCCCGGGACCGATTTACCTTTTTTATGCCCCCGTCCCAAGAGACCTGAAACACCATCGGTTTAAATTCATATTTATGTGTCTCTGGAGCAAAAATCATGCGGTTTTGATGAACTTTTGTAAACCTAAATTTATTTGGACGGGTTTGCAAACCAGCATGATCAGACTATGACTATAGGAATGGGGTTTTTTGATGTGCAATCTGTTTTTAAAACATCTGACCCTCGAAAGATAAAATACCCCCGCTGCAGCAATCCTGCTGACTAAGCAAATTTCCATTTGCCTGGATTGATTTTAAATTCATCTATTAAATTAACATTTATGTTTAACGAGTATGTAGGTTAGCTGCTACAGGGAAACTAATAGTGTTTTTTTTTATCAAAATATCAATAGCTTAGTATGAAATAAATAAATCTTCCAAGTTTGATCAAAATATGTCCATAAACAAGCCAACTACAACATATTATAATATTCTCCTTAAGAATAACATGGGAATTTTAAATTAACAATTTTTGGAATTTTTTCCGTAACCAATCACAGAACAAAAACACTTTGATATACTAAATTAGTTTTTTTTAAATCTTTAAAAAGGTCTGGAGAAAAGTTTATAAATTTTGTGTCTAAAGGGTAAAAAATTATAAAAACCCATTTTTACCCCATTAAACCCCGTTCCCATAGTCTTATCATGCTGGTTCGCAAACTCATTCAAGTTTATCCCGCCTTACACCATTAAACAAAATTTTATCAAAATCAGACAAAATTACTCAAGTTATCGCACGGATGGACACCTATATATATATATATTATATATTTATTTAAAAAAATACAAATCTTCAAAACACATACACTTCCAAGCCACAAAAGCCAATATGGCTTGTCTGCAGCAAATATCTATATAATAAGCTCTTTAAAAAGGTCTGGAGTAATTTATAAATTTTGTGTTTAAAGGGTAAAAAATTAGAAAAACCCATTTTTACCCCATAAATTACTCCTTTATATCCTTTATCACAATTACTACCTACTTTGTATCTTAAAGTAATTTATATATGTATATATAGGTACTGTATATATACATATATAAAAATTTGAACGAATGGTGTTTTTGGCCTCTGGGGACATCAAAATGAAAACGTAAGTCGGTCCCGGGTCTAGGTCTTACCATGAGACCTACAGTAATAGCTACTTCCCTACTATCTTCTTAATCTACAGGTTTGTTGCAACAGGGGTATTTTGATTTAATGTTATCCCAGAATAGAAGTAAACCTTAGCTCAATATTTTTGGCAAAGTTTTTAGTTGCCAATATAAACTGAATGTGTAGCTGTAAGTGTAAGGGAAATGGACAAAAACAACACCTGTATAAATACATTGTTCTGTTTTAATTTGTATGAAACTATTTACAATGAACACATTTTGGTTTGAAAAATCCTCTTTCACATAATAGCATTGACTATACAAATGAAAAAAAAAAAACATCGCTTCACGGCTAATAACCTTCTAAGGTATGACAAAAATATAAAGTATCACAGGCTATAACAAATATTACAGAATCAAAATGAGAGAATATTTAAAGCAGTGGCGTTCTAAGGGGGGAGGCTATAGGGGCTATAAAGCACCATCACCCCATTGGACTCAGAAAATACAACTTTAAACATATATTTTGTCATTAAAATGTAACAGAGGTTTTTGGACACAGCTCTAGACGTTAAACATGGGATCAGAAAATATTCCAGGGGAGGACCCCCAATCCACCTCCTGGTGTGGAACTCTCTAGGTAGCCCCCTTCCTCTCGACAAGGTCCTAGAACCGCCGCTGCATTAAAGTACTGTAACATTCATTCCAGATAATTTTACAAGATATATTACAAAATGTACAATTAAGTAAATTACAAAATTTACACAGAGATCTCTATTATGTCAGGTAATTAAATAGTATTGAATAAAATATGATCCAAATCCAAAAATTGATAGGGTGTTAAGTATAACCTTTTTAGTACATTACAGGTTAAAGTGGATTTAAAAAACATGAGTGGTTTTATCATTTTGGAAAAGGTTAACAAGTTGACTTAAAATAGCGTTATTTTATGAATATTTTTCCATCATAACAATACCTATATACCGTAACTTATGTTATTGACTGCATTTACCACATGTCAGTTTCTGCATCCTGCCAAAATAAACATTTCATTTTTATACACAAATAAAATACTTACTTCTGTTATAGCCTACATTAGTAAAAATTTTTTTTTAAATACTGTTTGAAATAATATCTCTTTGCAGCTTTCTGCACAAGTGACTTAACAAAATTTACAGTATTTGGGTTCTGTTTGTCAACCTAGAACACTAAACTACACAATTAAAAACAATAAAAGCTTCTCATAGATAGCTAGAAATCATTGGACAGAAATGTCACATAGCTATGACAATTATTACAGAATTAAAACTATCAAAGACAAAATTCAAGTAAACATTTGTTCAAACCATCTTACAAGATATGTTACTACATTTACAGCTTGTGACATCTAAGCTGGTACTTGGCCTAGCACGGGCAGTGTAGACTGTAGGAGGTATGGAGGGTGGAGGTAGGGAAAAGACCAGACTGCAAACATTTCCGCTGCCTCACAGGGTTGATTTCCTTTGCATTATGTACTTGAGTGCCTTCATATGGGTCGCGAGTACAGTTGATGCAACCCGCATGACGGCACATAATGATTTTTAAATACGTACTAATAGCGATCGGCCAAGTGCCAGCTTAGATGTCACGAGCTGTACAACCAGTAAACTTACAAAATTTAAACACAGTAATGAAATCTCTAGCAGTCCTGTAAAGAAACAGTGTTGAATAAAATAATGACCCAAAGCTCAAACTTGATAGGTCCCCAAAGGTTTTAGTATTGGTAGAACAATAAACAATGTTATTGATAAGTTTATAAGCCGGCAATAAGTTATTAATTATGTACCTATTTTCTGTAAAATTATATTTTTCAAAGCCAAATCAAATACTAAATTCTATTTTAAATTAATGGTGATGTTTAATAAATGTTTGGAACAAATGATTTTCCCTACTTCACTCGGCTTTTCTGCAAAAGTAACATGCCATAAACAATATTAATCTAGGGTTCTGTTAAACATTATGGTAGCTTTTAGCTATACTACAAATTAAAATATAAAAAAATATAGTAATGCTCAATCAAACAGAAATCATATAGACTGAACTTTTATATATTTTTAACAAAAATACACTGTGCAATGGTTTAAAAGAAATCGAATATACAAATTACATAATTCACTAAAACTAGCAGTCTTTTTATTTAACATATAACTCTTGAAACATTTACAATTTACAGTATCTAATTACAGGTAATCAATATTAACAATTTGAAATCTCATTGTTATTTTAAAGTAAAAAATATATTTTGCTTTACTTTATTTAAAAACACAAACACTTTTAAAGTAATGAGGTTCTTAAATTCTTTTGGGTTTTTTTGTTTGCCATAAAGAGTTAGGTGACACAGTCTTTTTCACACTAAGAGTGGGAGCATTTAATCTTGAGATCAAAACATAGGATTTTTTAATTTTATATCTACGAAGAAGTGCCAGTTCCTCCATTTCTTGTAAATTAACCTTCTCTCTTAGTCGTAGATTGAGTTTTGCCATAAAAAGGATTTTTTCATCAATCCTCTCAAGGTTGACGCTCAAGGATGCACATGGTTTTGAGATTTGGTTTCTTAACTTGGGTTTTTGAACTTTACTTTCAAATTCTCTAGCCATTCCATTACCCCATCTTCCAAAAGGATCAGGTTGAGGTTTCCTGTTGTAATAGTTGCCAGGATTTGCATTCCTTGTTCTAAGGACATTTTTCAAGCCAGTAATTAATGTTGGAAAGGGGTTTAGTTGTTTAGACTTATCAAATAGGCAAAATATTTTGGATGTTGAGTTTTCTTGGTTGTTAGCAGTAGTCTTTTTTAATGAATTCTCATTTATTTGCTGCAAGGGTTGCTTTTCTAATCTTCTTCTAACATTTGTTTCAATTTTTGTCTTCTGTGTTGTAATTTTTCCCTTACTTTTACTGGACACCATCCTGTCATTACCTGTAAAAAAATAGAAAATTAAAATTGGTTTTAAAATCTGATTGGACTACTCTATAGTCTGGCAGAGAGTTTTTTGTGCATGTTGCTAAAAAGATATATTTCTCTTGACAAGACCTAAAATACACAGCAACTTAAATGAACTCTTTATCCATAAGATGTGACAATTTGATTTTAAGAAAGTAAACTATACAAGGGAAGGGTTTCCGGGAGTTTTTTCACCTCTAGGACCGCAGGATATTTATTTATATCTGCAATTACCTATTAGTATTTTATTGTATGTCTGCTTGGATTATGTTTCAGTTTTGCTCAAATATGTCAAATAACATTTCGTTTAGACTCAGGACAAAGTGGAGTGGTTTGTTTCCTGAAAGACAGCTTTTAATTAGGTTGCCAGAATGCATGTAATATATTTCTTCCTTAAGAAGCAGTTCTCCTTCAAAGTCAGGCGTTCCAATGTGCCCATCGCACAAGTGAGACTCATTTCCGTATTGAATATATGCCACCACAGTTGAATTTTACATGTATGAGGTTAAGGTCTTTAATACACCTTACAACCATCACAGCGTCGTGGTGAGCCCAGGCACAAAATAGGCTCCAAGTGGGAGGCTTTCACCTGAGATTCGGACCAGGATGTGGTACTTTGTTTGAATCTGACAACAGTTACCATCAGCCATTCTCAGGTCCGCCGAAGAAATCTCAGGTTCCACCTCACACTCAGAGAAATGTCAAACAACTTCTGCAGCGCCTGGGATTTCTTCCCAAGGAAAAAGATGTCACCCGAATCAGACAATTAACTAACAGCAACGTACAAAGAGCTCACATAATTGAGCTCAATGAAGGTTGAACGCTGAGGGCTCACTAGACCTGATACCTGAGCCCGATTCAGAATAAGGCGCTTGTACGCAACTTGTTGCGTGTGGGTGTTGGAGCCACCTATTCCATTCGTTGGAGGTAGTGTGACTATAGGATGTGAGCTCAGGCGACCTCCAGTTGCCTGAGTCTGACCGGCGTTTCCCAAGTGTCAACAGCAACGGATGGGGGCTACCCCGTTTACAATGGTAGCACCGCAACATATTTGATGAGCGCAATCCCGAAATGTATGCCCTCAAGCATCACAATTCCACCACAATGAAAGGTTGCGGACCCCACAATCTAGGAAAGCTCGACGACTGTAGGCCGCGGCTCCTGATGATGGAGTCCACAGGGTTCGCCCATTTCGCCTGGTTACCTCCCCCACTTAAGAAGACCCAAAAGTGTGGCCGGTCTTCGACGACGCATGTTGCGGTTTACGCAGTCCTGGCACCAGACCAGCAAAACCGCAACATCGAAAGCACAGTTCATCCTCCACCCTGTACCAATGTTTGAGCGGGTATAGGAGGAGGGCAGAGCATTTTGCGTTCCCAAATGAGGTCGGGCAAGGTGAAAAAGTCATGACGCCGAATCATGATGTTGTACTCTGACCTCATTTTTAAATACACCAGGTCAATGGTTTCCAAGAAAAAGGTGCCGCTACACTCAGGGCCGTATTTCCCTAACGGCGGACACGGTGGTTGACGGGGGCCTCGGCCTAGGAGGGGGCCTCACTTGGGGCCTCAATTTCTTTTCTTGAAACATTTTTTTCACCGATACTCTTCTTCACCAAGATCGCGGTAGATGTTGATGAAATCTGCGTGACCGCTAATAATCTTTACTATTTTGCCGTTAACAGAGGAGTTGTGCAATTCATCCCCAATCACAGAAGCTGTCCAGAATTTTGCGGGAGTCGAAGATCATGTCCCTGCAAAATTCGGAAGATACGATTTTGTCGTTATCGAACTAGACGAAGATGTTTTCTCAACGCTCACGCAAGATTAATTATTTGTCACGATTGCAGGAAGGGAACGATAAAGATTTTCTGTGATCACAAAAGATGTCTACAATCTCTGAGGTACCAAATTTTAAGGGGGGTAAAAAGGATCAAGGTTGGATAAACAATAGAACATACCCGTTATTACCCCCAATAGCCCATACCTGCTGGGTCTATGTGTTGGCTGTAGCATAGACTATATGCCAAAGAACGTAGGCCTAGTCCCCGACACCTTGAAGTATGAATACACACTGACATGAGGTTTGATGATTCACAATAGCACTATCATCAAAAGAAGTCAAGTCGATTTCACAAATAATAATCGCCGACAACAATATAACCCACAAAACTGTTGTTTGTTGTGAACCACATCCTCGTGCCTGCACCCAGGCTAGTGACTTGGAAGTGTGATCCATGCGCAGGCCCGAGGAGCAGCTCACAAAACTTTACTTAACAACATGAGGACCATGGATGGAGGTTCAAGAACAACACGCCATTTGAGGGAAACGAGCTGTAATAAACAATATAAATAAACAACAACAAACATTATTAACAACAATACATGAATTACCTTAAAAAAAAACTTTAAATAATTTAGCTACCCATCCAGCCTACTAACTTACAAGCATTTCTTTAATTTTAATCAAATAGGCTAATCAGGAATTTATTAAGTTTTAACCATTCAGAAATTTTCTAAATAATAACATTTCAACAATAAATAAATATATCTTTCAAAACAAGAATTTGAATAGGTAACTAGTAATTTTAGGGGCCCCAAAAAATATAAATGCGTTAGAAAGACTTTAAAAATTAAATAGGCTAAGTAGACTGATAAACTATTCAATAAAATTTTAAAAGATAACAAAAAACATAACTCTGTAGGGCTATGGTAACTATAACTTTAAATACAGTAGTCTCTTCTTCTTTTTTTAATAAATCTATAAAAAATATATAACAATTTAACAAAACATCTGGTAACTTAGTCGATAACGAGGCACAGAGTCGATTTCAATTTGCGCATTCAACTTGCGATAGTCCAGGACCATTCGGGACTTGCCATTGGGCTTTGGAACGAGAAAAGCTGGACTAGCGTAGCTAGAACGAGAAGGTTCAATGACACCATTTTCCAGAAGTTCGTCAATGATTTTTCTGAGAGTTTCCATTTTGGGTGGAGCTAATTTGTATGGGTGAGAACGAATGGGACGGGTGTCTGTCAGACGAATCTCATACTCTAACAGGTTAGTGACTCCGAGCTTTGGCGTCAGCACATCTGGGAAACGAGAACAGAAAGTTCAAGGTTCCGATAGCTTCAGCCTCACAAGTAGTCAGATGCCCTAACAGATCAATTGTTGGCTTGCTGGGTATCTCAGGCTCGACCACCGCAGCGCCACCACCAATTTCATCAGCAAAAGAAATTAATACCCGTCTCGCAAATCGGAAAAAACACTGACCTCTGCCTGAATCCAAAATTAGGCCAGTGTGCTTGATAAAATCCGCTCCCAAAATGACAGGGAAACAAAGGTCCTTAGCCACCCAAAAACTCCAAACCCAAGAAAAATGTTCAATTTTGAACTTGAAACGGGCTTCATAGATGATTAGAAGGGGTGAATTTGACGCAGTCCAGCAGATAGGGGGTTTTCGCTCAACTTGCTTGATAAGCCCAGACGATGTTAGTTTTTCAAAAAGGGACAAGGAAATGAGGCAACGTGCTGATCCAGAATCCACTAGGGCCTTCTGCACCGTGGAACCTATGAAGATGTTGAGACGTGGGCAAGTTGAGCGCGCCGCTTTCACGCCCATGGAAGCAAGGCCCGTGATCCCCCACAGCAGAGCACAACACTCCCAGAAGGGGAGGCAACAGAAACATTTACAGACTTTAACTTTGACTTTCACTTAGCTTTACTTGAAAAAACTTTCAAATTATTGCCCTTAACTTTAACATCAACATCACAGGAAGGATTGGGCAAACTTTCCTCCTGTGAGCAAACTAGTTTTTTGGACCACGTCCAAAATTTCCACCTTGACGGCAATGCCGCCGAATGTGACCTGGTTGCCCACAACCAAAATAAACAACGGGCTGCCTCTGCCACTGCGGCGGTTCGGGACCCAACCCCACGGGTGCTACGACAGCATGTTGACCAACTAGGGGATGATGCCCCGCTGCTTGGTCTCTTTGGAAATCAGCATCCTGGACAGATCTCGAAAGGATGGAGAGCCTGTCCAGATCCGCAAAAGATGATGGTCGTGGCGCAAAAACCAAACGGAAGCGTTCCTCAGGTTTCAACCCCTGAAGCACAATGTCAATGAGTTCAAGCTCACTGATCCCCAAACGCAAGACCCTTTCCACCGTACGAATGTCCCCCACGTACTGGCTGAGAGACTCGGCTGGCTGCTGAGGACGAAACACCCTTTCAACTTTCAGCTTTTCCATGACCCGACGGGGCATGAAAAGCTCCAAAACCTCTTTACGAAAAACATCAAAGGTGACGCCTCTGCGCAAGCAATCAAGCAATCTGTCCCCCAATGGTTTCAGACAGTATGTAGCAATGAGTTCCATCAAAGTTGCGTCTGACATGCCAGGGTATTCGTGCAAAACACTCTCTAGAAAAAAACAAAGACCACTCACATCTAACCCGTCCACCGGCTGGAAACCACTCAGGACAGAGGCAAGGGGATGGGGAAGTTTAGCAAAGGAGTTAGAGATGGAAGGGGAACTATGGACTTGAGAAGGAAATGGAGATAGGGACTGGACATTCAGCATAGCCGCAGCCAAGGTGGACGTGTCAGAGGAGGATGGTATGACATTTGCAGGCAACTGGAGCCATGTACTCGGCGGAGCCGGGGGAACACCCACTGGAGCCACAACCTCATCAACAGACTTTGCCTGAACTTCGTTTGAAATTTCCGAAGAACGGTTGTCTTCGAAAATTTCAACTTTCTCTTTGACAGACTTTCCTGCCCGAATACTCTCCAAAATACCTTCTAGCTCAAGGATTCTGGCCTCCACCCAACTCTTGTCTTCGTCCTGGATTTCAGGTTGCCCTAAAACCAAGACTAGACGCTTCCGCCAGTGCGTCAGCTGGGTGATGGCTGAACCCTTGGCTGAACCCGTAGGCAAACTACTCCAACTATCAATTTCCCCACTTGGCTCTTC